TAGCACGTCACACCACGCGCCATCTAGCGCCTGGCCGAAATATTTTTTTTTTCATGTCTTCCTTTCTTTTTTCTATTTTAATTTTATATATTACACTTTTTTATGCAAAATATTTACCATTTGGACTAGTAGGTGGTGGGGGAATCGGGTCCACGGGGTGAACGTAACTGTATATAAACTCTGTGGAGTTATTAAGTATTAGTGTAATTTGGCACGAAAATGCGACTTGGAGTAGTACTCAGTACGTGTGTTCTTACCTGCCGTCTAGACGTTAAAGGGCACGAAGTCCTTAGCGAGTTTTGTCTCCGGTTTCAAGTGGTCGAGTTAGTCTCGTGCAACGGTACCTATTATGTGCGACGGAACGAAGACCGATCGCGATCGACTGGTTGGCGACCACTGTCCTAAGGCAAGGCGGGATCCCAAGAAGGGGTTTTAGGCTTGAGGCTGGCACTCAGGGCTGCTAGTAAAAATTCTTAGCTTCTCAGGCAACAAGCTCCTAAGCCAGGGCCTGCTGTCAACCTCCCTGCGTGCCTCGTTAAGGGCAGCCTCTTTCGCCTCTCTGGATGAGGCCCTCCTCCAGTCATTGAAAATATACTCCAGATTGTATTTAAGCTCATAAAGCTCTTGGCTAAAAGAAAAAACTGCTGGGTCCATGCTGGTCTGATTGTACTGTCAGGATTGGGGAAAATAGGACCCAAGTGCAGTTAAAAAATACAAAAAAAGGTTTGTTAACAAAAAGCGAGCTTTATTATAAAAAGCCGAAGGCATGACAAAACAAGAAACTAATTACCAGAAACAAAACCGGGGAGCACAACAGACAGGAACAAACTTACAGACGGGAACAGGCAGGAGACATGGACAAGCATAGACGACAGGTAGCAGGGACATCAAATGACGACGAACAGACATGGAGCACAGGGGGAGACAAGACTAAATACACAGAAGGGTAATCACAGGACAAGACACAACTGGCAGGGCAGGCAGAAACACAAATCAAACACAGGGAGTAGGATCAGACAAGACACAAGGAGGAAAACAAAAATCCAAAACCATGACACCCCCCATACAAACAATTTAGACAAACAAACATGAACTCGCAATAAACACCAGCGCGACAGCAAAGTTCATGATGCTCAATTTAGCAGCATTTTTTTTTTATCGTTTTAATGCCATTGAATACAACTTTTGATCAAACAACAGCAAAGGTAAGACTATTTCCCGTTTTTGCTCCGTAAAACTACATTGTGTGTTGTCTTGATTTGCCTGAGCTGCCGCAAGTTTTGGTCGCACAGTGATGATACCTATACCTTTAATCTGTGGAATCCCAGCTTTAATCTGATATCTTGTTTGTGCAGATCCGATAAGTAATGAAGTATTTCTACCATGAGTTCTGTGCTAAGTGCGTTTTCGCTCAGGGCTCATTTGGACGCTTCTTGTGAGACTTGTGTTTTGCTTCGGTAAAAATGGCTCATATCGTCAGTTAGCTGAGTTTCTTCCTGTTAAGTGGGTATGACACATTAATTAAACGTGTGTGAAAGTTATGAAAAATCTTGAATCACAAAATTGAGTCTATTTTGTCTCTAACTTTTCGAAATGTCGCTATGATAGCGTCCTATCCTCTGATGCATTACTACGTGTTTTCGAAATTTATTTTTAAATGCATGCCCACCCTAATGTCTGAAGACCTGCAGTGAGTGAAGAAACAACTAAATGACCTGCAGACAACTCTCCCCATCTTGCTCCATCATTAAGGTCTTGCATTTCCTCTTGTTTCCCTGTGTCTCCTAGGTCTCCTATATACCTCAGATCCATCAATCTCTCCTTCTTCATCCAATAACCCGCCTCTCTCGCACTCTTATTATCTCTTGTATCTTTGATCTCACTCGTGTGATCTTGTTATCGGCTCCTGCTTTAAATTTCTCTCTCGCCTTCTCTCTCTCTTTCTTTGTTCCACAGAGTGGTCGGTAAACACACAAGCTGAAATCCATGAGGTAAATTGAAAAACAGTAATGCGCTTGCATATGCTTCAGGATTTCCCTTATCTGCAAACTACTATTCTTTAAACTGAAAATATCCATTTAAGTACAGCATATTTAAATCTTTCCGGTGAAAATAATTCCTATTTAGCATGAAACCTAATTGAGAATGCAGTTAAGTTATAAGGGAAAGTCATTTTGTGTGGCAGAAACACACAAACATACACGTTACTGACCACCATCACTAAAAAGAGTATACCATGTAGAAAAATATATATTTACAGCGTTTCTTATAATGTTTTACTAACTGTTGTAGAGTAAATCTGTTTGGATCCTTTCCCAGCTGCAGGATCAGGAAAATGAGACAATGCATCAAATGAGAGACTCTACAAGCACAGTGTATTTATTTTAAACTATACATCATGAAAAAAAAATACCTGGGAAGAAGAGTAACGCAGCGTCCACACGACGGCGTGCGTTGAAGCTTGCGGGCGGGCGTGTCTGAAACTTCACCAACAACCAATCACATGAATCTCCTGCCCCGGACACACAAGCATGCGGTTTGATTGGCTAGTGCTTGTACTGGCATATGATTTGATTGGCTGACGCTTCCGCCGAAGCTTCAAAAGTTAAACATTGCTCAACTTTTGAAGCGAGCAAAGCGAAGCAACGCTCCCACAAGGCAGTTCGGCAAAGCGTGACGTCACATCATTCAAAGTGAATGGGCAGAAGCGTTAAAGCTTCAACGCACGCCGCCGTGTGGACGGGGCGTAATCCAAAAAAAAAGTTATATATGGTTTTCCAGTATTCAAATCAATATATCAAGCAGACTGCTGAAAAGGCGTAGCAAAAAGTAAACATCTTTAGTTTAGTTTTTCATTCAGCAAAGCAGATAGTGCTGAAATAGTGACGTGGCACTTGACACTCAAAATATGTAATATATCATGTACCTTAAAGGTAGGAAAGGTAAGAATGGAGAAACCAGCTTGAGTGCGCTAGAATTTGAAACTATGCAGCCGAAAAAAATCTGCCCCTTCCTTCAGACTTCCTTACAGAGCCCCTCCTCCAACACACACAAATGCACACATGACCAATGAGGGCACGAGATAAGTTTGTGCACAGATGGAAGGCTGACAGGCAGGTAGGCCATCCAGTTATTTTAGCCGGGCCGGCTAGATGATTGGTCGTGCTTTTTACAGCGCCACGGCTTCCACAGATGAATTTTTTTCATGTATTTATTGTCAAAGTATTTAATATATTCATTGCTATCGGGATGTTAAGAGCATTCCATGGAATATAACAAAAAGTGTTTCTGAAGTAAATTACCTACCCTACCTTTAAGTCATCGATATTTAAATAGAAACAAAATCTCAAAACTGAGTAATATTTCCTTTCTCTTTTGTTGATGCTGTCTAGTGTTTGATATTCCTTGGTAAATGCTTTGTAAACAAATCTTTATAAACTCACTTCCTGTGTGATCTGTTCTGATTTTACTTTACCTACACAGCACATCGCTGGCTTACAGAAAAAACAATGTTGTTCTGTGCTCTGAAGTGAAGACATGACAAAGTGATAGTTGTGACTCAAACAGGAATTAAACACACACGAGCAGGATGACTATAGGGTTAAAGAGTTTTTGAGTTTGTCTACCACAGATTTAATCTAACAAAAAACAAAAAAGTTAGCATGATCCTCTCCAAAGTGTATATATGTCAAATAAATGATCAACCCTGACTATTCCCTTTAGATACAGGCTACAGATGAACTGTACGGGCGGTTCATTGTTTGTTGTCTGTATACAGGAGTCTGGGTTTAGTTCTCAGTAATGAACTTAGAGGAGATCAGCAGATCAGAAGAACCTGAGAAGATCTCCATGTTCCTGCCGAGGGATTGAACTCATTATCTGATGAACCCGAGCATCTGCATGTGTGTGAGCTCAGAATGCAAGCTCAGCCTCCTTTGGTGCGAACACATGGAAAATGCTGTGACCGTAAAAACAAATTAACATCATTTTTGGATGATTGTTATCTCATAATGTTGGTCCACCGGCTATAAAAGTGAATGACTGATTCAAATGCGGAAACATTTTCTACATCAAACTCTTATTTTTTTGTAAATTCCATCAACATTTTGACAAATTCCAGGATATTACTAAAGCTTTATAATCGTTATTATCAAATATTGTTATTCTTTTAGAGTTACGGAAATCGATGATATTCAATATTTATTTTCTCTGCTTTGTTAAGATACACTATCAAGAAAACTACTTTGCACGGAGCTTAACTACTGAAAAATTCACAATTAAGTAAATTAACACTAAATGTAGGTAAACCCCCATCAAGGTTAGAAGTATATGAATATCACAAGAGAGCGATGCAATGTTATCATAAGTTGTTCAATATACACCAAATACAATTCAAGTAAATCAGAGTGAGAAAAGCAGCAGTGTACTAGTTTTTTTTTTAAATCCAGTTTGGGTCACTTTTCATACCGTTGCTTAAGACCACAGCTTCATTCTGACAAGACCCGAGGAAAACAAATCTGATAAACCATCTCATCCAAGAATAAAAGCCAGAGACGCACCTGTCTGTGGAGCTGTCGTCAGTGAGTGTGTGTTGTGGTGAGTCAGAGGAGGCAGGACCGTCCTCTCCGTCCTGAGGCAGCTCTTCACATTCAGCTTCACACTTCTCATCGTCCAACAGCTCTGTGATCTGAAGACAGAAATACAGAAGACACACAAAGGTTAGATGGACTGTCTAGAACAGGAATAAGCAAAAACATATCAGGTTAGAAATCAGAAACTATCTTTTGTAATGTTGTGGTTGCTGCCTGCTTACTTTTTGAGCAGACATTTGAAATAGAATTGCCTTAATAAGACAGTAAATTGGCGATAGGTGGGTTAACTTGAACAGATTCATGAAGCAGGCAGTGTTAAGAACATCATATTCAAAAAGAGCTTCAGTGGCATCTTCTCCAGCCTGCTGACAGTGTTGGACAGATGGTCTGCTGTCTGTCTACTTAATGAAATACTCTCTTAATGCCTGCCTTATTGTTCCAGGTCTGTTAGCAGATTTATAAACCAGGTTGTGTCTTATCACTCTGCCTCCGCCAACTTAGTCAAGTGCTTCTGGAGAGCTGCCATGTTTGAGAGGCCACAGGGAGTCGCCATGTCACAATATAAATAATGCAAACACAAAATAGGCCCAAAACAATGCAATATCTATAAATTGTTACCGCTTGACATCAAATGAAACTGTACAAGATATTGCATTTGTTTTTATGACTAATTTAACGTGATTGACATACAGTTGGTTACAAGCGTCTTGAATTCTGTATCTGAAGTGTTTGTTAATAGCGTTGAAGTATTTTTGTTGACATTCCAATATCCATATATTGAGTAGGATAATGCAACGTTAGATGTCACTTTAACTCACTTAATATGGAGAACAATTACAATGTTATTTTTTTTTGTAACCTCGTTAAAATCAAGAGGTCAATGCAATAAATAAAGGAAGTGAAGATGACTGAAGAACTGAAGAGAGATCCAAAGGATGTAATGAATGGGATGGTTAACGAGTGATGCAGGAGGGGAAGAAGGGGGAGGAGATGTTAGCGAGGGAGGGGGGGGGGCGGAGGTACACATGTAAGTAGACAGAAATAACTCATGGTGACAGCTGACACCATGTGAAGACACAAACCTAAATCCTTGAGCAGTAGTTAACTTATAATAATGCAAATCATTTCTTAACGTTTTGTTGAGTGGTATGTTTTTCGAAAATAAATGATACATTTCTTGATGCTATAAGCACAAGCCATTGTCACAAAAGCTTTTTCATTTGCTATTGTAAGCAGCAATGTCACTGTAAAAATGAACTGGGAGAAACCCCGGAGGCAGTATGGGTTAAAAGGTCATGAAACATATACGTCATTGTGAGGATTTCTTCTTCTCCACAACTCTGATTTCTCTTTCCTTCTCTCTCCTCTCAGCAGCATCTACATCTGCTGCTGTCACTGTGCCGTTGCTACGGAAACACCTCTATTCCAAGAGCTATGATTGGCTGACAGGGAATTCTTGCATCGTCACATGCACAGCTTACAGAGGATGACTCACAAGACTCCTCCAAGTGTGTGTGTGTGTGTGTGTGTGTGTGTGTGTGTGTGTGTGTGTGTGTGATGTTGTTAATCATGGTTGACTGATGTAGTTACTTGTACCCGTGGTGACCGCTATCGTTTTTTACAACGACACAACCATTCGTTCTCAGCCCACCGACCTATTTACTAGTAAGGTGGTCGAAAAGCATCGTAAATTAGTAAGTCAAATTTCCAGTCTTACAATACAACAAAAACCAAGCTTTTGTCTTGTAATCTTCAACGGGAAAAGGGTGCGGCAAAATTTTTCAAACGAGAACCAGACACCTATGATAAGAAACCCTGTGGACACACAAACTAAACAGATATTCTCAACTGAGGGACTTGGCGGGACTGATCTCGCCTATTGGTTTTATGTCTTTTTCCCGTCTCCGACACTTCTAGGTCTGTGGGTGTGGTCGAAGATCAACAAGATTCACTAGTAATTCTCCCGTAAATAAGGTATGCTCAGAATATTAAACTACTGAAAATTAGTAAAAATTCTACGTCATCAACGTAAAAAAAATGTTAGAGATACAACAACACGAGTATTCTTTATACTTTATTTTGTACTCGTAATTCAACAAGAACAGATTCTCATCCATAACGATCAAGTTGT